CACAAAAAAATACAAAATATATCAAATGAATAGATTCTGACTTCTTGATGAACAACAAAAAAAATACAAAATATATTTACAGAATTGATCGAAAAATTAAGGAAGCAAATAAAAATAGCACCAAATTACTAAAAATAACTGTATTTTAAGACTGAACCTTAAATATTGCAAGAAATATAATACTTACCATTTGATAAGATGGTTATCAGTACAAGTTATATTTAACTTAGTATATATTTCTTCTAGAGGATAAATTCGGATATATTTACACTGTACAGTGCTATTAATATTGTGGCAAATATCAGGCCAAATAATGCTCCCTATGTCATCTGGTAAACTGTAAGTTTTATTACAGTCTAATCTAAGCTCACCACCTGTATGGACCATTACTGCAGCATACAATGTGTACATTGCAACAAGCAACCACATTGTAATAGTCAAATAAGTTAATAAGTAATTTTCCATATTCGTATGAAAAAAAAATTTGTATGTAAAAAAGCTAACTATTGTTGTTTAAGGTCAAAAAAGTGAAAAATTTATATTTTTTCAAATTTAAGCAAATTTTTTGATCAAATTAACGAACAATCATATAACCATCAATCAATACAAAAAGTATTAAAATAAAATGTAAAGAAGTCAATCAAGAGAAAAACTGAAAAATTATTTATTTATCAAAATATTCACTTTATTTTATAAATATCATAAAAGTATTATAATAATGCGAAATTTTTCCACAATATAAAATAAGCAATAATTTGCTTAAGAAATGAAAAAAATTTTTGCAAAATATCAAAAGTTTTAGTAAGAATTTGCAAAAAGTAAGCATTTATAAGTCTGTGTGAATTTTTGCCTGTTTGGAACAAAATTTATTATTCATTTTATAATAATTTTTGATAAGAAAACAATTACGTATTTATTTTGCAGTGCTTGTTACATGACCAATCTACTAAATAGATCATAAATGAGTGAGCAGTTTTGGATTTTTTCATATGAAAAAATGATTTATTTAATAAGTAATCAAAATAACAAATAAATAACTATAATTATATCTTATACGTAAGTAAAATAAAATGATACAAAGTATTATAAATATAAATAATAAAAATGATAATTTTGTAAATATATTATAAATTAGAACTTTATAAATCAAGCAAATCATCCAATTTTGCTTCCATATTTTTTCATTTCTTAACTCACTCCATATACTAAATGTTTAGTCCAAATAAAAAAAATAGATATTAGTGTGGAATTAAATTCAGCAATCAGAAAAGTCAATTACAAGTATGCTTATATTATAAATAATACAATATTAACAATTTTTTTTAAAAAAATTTCATCGTGAAGTTATTTCAAGTCAAAAATTCAACTGAATATTACGTAGATTTTGGTTAAAATCACTTCGAATTTCAAAAATAAACTTTTTTACAATAACGATAGAAACATTTTATTATTTTTATGGATAAAATTGCCTATTTATTTTTACAAAATCCAAATATGAATTTCAATAAACATTGAATGGCATTCGATAACAGAACACTAAATTTTGATGTTAGCAATAATGTAATGAAAATTAACAATATGGAAGCCAACATATAATTGTTGGTTTTTAATTTGAACTGATTTTGATAGATTAGTGTCATCTTAATTTTTATTCATATTTAGTACGAATTTTTGTAAAACTAACCACTTCATATCGATTTGGATATGATCAGCAGTAAATTATTGCGCACGATTTGAATAGCCCAAAATCGAGCAACACTTTCAAAGTATTCCACGCACGATTTGAATAGCCCAAAATCGAGCAACACTTTCAAAGTATTCCACGCACGATTTGAATAGCCCAAAATCGAGCAACACTTTTTTCAATCTTATTTAAAATTTAAATGGATTAGTCCGAAAATTTCAGAGGTATGCAAAAATTTAATATTTTTGATCATTAATGTTCTCGTTAAATTTAATCGGTTAAAAAAGGTTGAAGTTTCAAAAGTTATATTAATTGAATGTTCTTTACTTAAACCACAAAGTTAATGATAATCTTATCATCAATACTCTTAGTTTTAAGCATAGCTCTGTTTTTTCGAGAATGTCGAGGTAAAAACTGTTTAGATTACCAGTTTCAGATTACTTGTTTCCACTACTGAATTCATATTATTATTATTATTTTTTTTGAAGCAAAAAAGCAATGATAATATAACTTAAAAACTTTACTATTTACAATTTAAAAATAAGTAAAAGCTTCTAACAAAAATATTTATTTTATCACTGATAATGTTCACTTATTTTCTTTTCATAATCATTTGACCAAGTTTATTAAGTTAGTTATTTTGAAAAAATAACTCAATCACTGAAAATCGAGAGCAAATTTTTGGAGAAGAAACATTTTTGACTGAAGGCATTGAGAAGAAAACTTACTGCACTGTTATTAATATTATTTATTTATTATTAACAGTATTATCAATATTCTATTCATTATTATTTATTATTACTATTTATAATTACAATTATTCTTTTATTATATCATAATAATGATTACTATTATTAATGCAACAAATGGTTTTCTT